TCATTTTTTTCAAGAACATTGTGTTTATTTTCTACCATATTGTTAACTCCCTTAGGTGTATTTTGCTCACACTTCAACTGTATAATATTCCTACTTTTATCACTGAATCTATCTAAAACAGATAACTGAATACTGCGCCTTTCCAGGTATGATGAATGAAATCCCTACATCTGTTTAAAATAATCTCTTTGATACTACTTTTATTCAAAACAACTGGCCAAATACTACAGCAATCTGAAATAACAAATCAGATAATCCATCTATCTAAAATAAGGAATCAGATACTACATCTATCTGAAATATTAAGTCAAATTACTACACCTATTTAGATATCGAATTCAATTTCCCCTTCCATTTGCAGCCTTCCTAAGTGCCACGCCGGAGCACTGGTGCCACGTGCCGGGCATGAACGCAGGGACCAAGGAACAGGCGTCCCTCCTCAAAAACATTTCCATACCCTGGTGAGTCGCCTTGCGTGGTTTGTGTCGGTGTCAGTGTTACTGTTATTTTTAGTAATGGTGGGATTAATATTTATTGTCATTTTCAGTTTCAGTCGTAGTAATAGTAATGATTCAGTTATTATCAGTTATTGTCATCCATATTGTTACTCATTATCATTCAGAATCGCCATTATCCTTATTACTCTTAATGCCATCCTCCCTCACCATCATCCCTCACCACCCTCTTTCACTTTCCTCCCTCATTCTTCCCCACTCCATCCTCCCTCACCTTTTCCACCACCCTTTCCCTCACCATCGCCACTCCTTCCAGGGACGAGGAGGAGGGTTTCTCCAAATGCACTTACTACGACCACAACTACACGGCTCTGGCCTCGTACCTGTCCGGCGACTCCTGGCAACCCGAGGACCTGCAGGAGCACCTGAGCAACAACACGAAGACCTGCACCTCCTGGGTCTTCGACGACTCCGTGTTCCTCTCCACGCTGGTGTCTGAGGTGAGGAGGTGGGGGCGGGAGAGGGGGGAGGGAGGGAGGGGGGGAGGGAGGTTGGGGGTGAAGGGAGAAGAGTTGGGGGATGGGAGGGGGAGGAGGTGGGGCGGCAGAGGGGAGAGGGAGGTGAGGAATAGGAGGGGGAGGGAGGTTGGGGGTGAAGGGAGAAGGGTTGGGGGATGGGAGGGGGAGGGAGGCTGGGGGCGGGAGAGGGGAGAGGGAGGTTGGGGGTGGACGAGGGAAGGTGAAGGGAGAAGGGTTGGGGGGTGAGATGGGAAGGAGGTGGGAGTGGGAGAGGGGAGAAAGAGGTGAGGAGTGGGAGGGGGTGGGGAGGTTGGGGGAAGGAGGGGTGAAGGGGGCAAAAGGAGAAGGGAAGAGGAGAGGCTTGGGTGGGAGGAGAAAGGGAGAGGGAGGCCGGGGATGGGAGGAGTGAAGGAGAAAAGGGCAGACAGGAGGTTAGGGTAAGAGGATAGAGGGGATGAGGAGACTAAAGGATGGGAAGAGAGGAAGGGAGAAGGACCATTGCGAGAGGATGGTAATGAAAGAGGCGAAGGAGGATGGCAATAATAGTTATAAGGAATTAGGGAAACGAACTAAGGACAGAAAGGACAATCAGAAAGATAAATTAATCTCCCGTCTCCTTTTCGTTCCCGACCCCGCCCGCAGTTCAACCTGGTGTGTGGGCGCCGCTGGATGATGGCCACCGTGCAAGCGTCCTACATGAGCGGCCTCCTGATCGGCTCGCTCGTCATGGGCCAACTCTCGGACAGGTGAGAGGGAAGACGATGGGCTTTGGTTTGATTTCATCTTGTCCCACGATATTTTAAAGATATATTTAGATATATTTTTAAACATATTTTAGAAATGTTTTTTTTTTAAGATATTTTAAAAGATAGTTTAAAGATATCTTTAAAGATATCTAAAATATATTTTTAAAGATATCTTAAAGATTTTTTAAAGATAGTTTTAAATATCTTGCACTAAACCACTACGAAAAAAGAAAGAAAAAAGAGAAAATAAAGAAAGAAAAAGATAAGAAAAAAAGAGAAAAGAAAAATAGAAAAAAAGGAAAAGAAACAGAAAAAGATAAAATATATATACATAAAATGCCGACTCTGTCCTAACCCAGCGCTCTCTCCCTTCGTTCCCAGGTTCGGGCGCCGCACGATGACCCTTTACTGCGCTGTGGCTGCGACCGTCGCGGGAATCTGCGCCAGTTTCGTGAACACGTACACGTTCTTCCTTGTCATGAGGTTCGTGATCGCGTTTCTGTGCGCGGGACTCATGGTCATCACTTTCGTGCTCGGTGAGTGGTGATGGTTGTGTTATCTTATTGCCATTGCTGTTATCGATATTATGTTATCCTATTGTACTTTTCATATATTATAATTATATCAATATTCTCATCATCTGTGTTATCATCATCTCCATTATTCATTTCATCACCGTTATTACTATCACCCCCCCCCCCAGTCACGGAAGTCGTCAGCCCCTTCGCCAGGACGCTGACGGGGATGCTGTACGCCTTCTTCTTCGGCTCCGGCATCGCCATCCTGCCCGGCATCGCCTATTTCATCAGGAGCTGGAGGAACCTCGAGCTTACCATCGGGATCATCTCGGCCACGCTCATCTCGTACTACTGGTGGGTTGAGCGGCGGGGAGGGGGAGGGGGGAGAGGGGAGAGGGGAAGGGAATGGGAGGGGGGAGGGCAGGGGAGGGGGAGGAAGAGCAGGAGGAGGAGGAGAGGAGGGAGAGGGCATAGGGGAAGGGAATGGGGAGGGCAGGGGAAGAGGGGAGGGGAAGGGGGAGAGGGTGAGGAATGGGAACGAGGAGGATAATAGTCAGGGTATGGGGAAAGGGGAAGGTGAGTAGGAGTGTACATGATCGAGTTTTTTTTGGCTCAGCATCGTGTGTCTGCGTGAGTGTCTGTATGCGTAAGTGTACACACGTGCTTCGTGACATCAAATAGAATATACATACTCAAATAAACAAATAATGAAAATCAAATAAATACCCAAAAAAAGACGTTTCGCCATGACCTCCCCTTCCACAGGTTCCTCCCGGAGTCCCCGCGGTGGCTGGCGTCGAAGGGAAGGACTCAGGAGGCGCTCAAGATCATGAAGTCCATCGCCAAGACCAACGGGAAAATCCTTCCCTCCGACGAACACATGCTGGCTCTCATCTCGAGGGGGAGAGAGCAGGGGCAGGTGGGTTGGGGGGGAGGCTAGGAACGATGGGGGAAATGTGTGTATGAGGGATGGGGAGAGGAGGGAGGAAGGTGGGAGAGAGGGGAGGATGGTGGAGAGAGGGTGAAAGGAGGGAAGAGGGAAAGAGGTGGGGAGAGAGAGAGGGGAGAGAGAAGAGAGAAGAGAGAGAGAGAGAGAGAGAGAGAGAGAGAGAGAGAGAGAGAGAGAGAGAGAGAGAGAGAGAGAGAGAGAGAGAGAGAGACAGACAGACAGACAGACAGACAGAGAGACAGAGAGGAGACAGACAGACAGACAGACAAACAGACAGACAGACAGACAGACAGACCTCATCACTGACGACCCTCCCTCTCCCCCAGACCAAACCCGAAGAGGCCGACAACCCCGCCAGCCAGACGGGCGAAGGAGGCGCAGGAGGAGAGGCGAGCGGGTGGTTCTCGGGCCTGGTGGCGATGGCCAAGAACCAGTTCACCCTCGTGCGCACCCCGGTCATGAGGCGCCGTTCCCTCATCTCCTTCCTCGAGTGGTTCGTCGGCGCCAGCGTCTACTACGGCCTCATCTTCTCAGGCAGCAACATCAAGGCGGATCCGTTCCTCATGATCTTCGTCTCGGGCGTGGTCGAGCTGCCCTCCACCATCATCTTCATCTTCATTCTGGACAGGTGGGTCGTGGAGGGAGGGAGGGAGGAGGAAGGGAGGAGGGAGGAGGGAGAGGGAGGGAGGGAGGGGGTAAAGAGGAGTAGGGAAGCGAGGGATGGGGGATGTGTGAGAGAGAGAGAGAGAGAGAGAGAGAGAGAGGGGGGGGGGGGGAGAATGGCAAAAAATTGAATCATATTGGTGCAAATTACCTTCAACACCAATATCATCATCACCATTCTGCCGATTATTAATTGTTTCGTTACTGCCATCCGCTCACAGGTTCGGGCGGCGGCCTACCATGTGCGGGCTTTTCCTCGTCTGCGGCGCCTGCTGTCTCCTCATCCTGGCGGTCCCCCAAGGTGAGGATGGAAAGAGAAAGAGAGGAGAGAGGGAGATAAAGAGAGGAGAACGTGGAAGAGACAATCTCAGTTTTTTTCTATCCAGTCGAAAACTACACATTTCTCTTAATAGAAATGGAAAAAAAAAATTCAGACGAAAACATCTTCCCTTCACGACAGATAAAAACCGGTTTAACAGAAAAGGAGACCGTCAATGTTATCCGAAGACTACAATAAAAAATCATGAGAAACTGAAATATATTTACACTGCTTACAAACTCTGTTTCCCCTCCTCCCACCAGATAAGATCTACATCAATTTCTTTCTGGTGAATCTGGGCAAGTTCTTCGACACGGCGGTCTTCCAGCAGTCCTACATCTACACGTCCGAGCTCATGCCCACCAACGTGAGGAACATCGCCGTCGGGACGTCCTCGATGTTCGCTAGGATCGGTTGCGTCCTCACGCCGTATGTCATCGAGCTTTTGGTAAGGACAGTGGGAGAGGGAGGAGGAGGGGAGGGAGAAGAGAAGGAAGGAGAGGGAAAAGGGAGGGGAAGGGAGTGAGGAGAAAGAAGAAATAGGCGTCCTCGATGTTCGCCAGGACTGGCTGTGTCCTCACGTCATCGAACTTTTGGTAAGGACAGTGGGACAGGGAGGAGGAGGAAGGGAGGGAGAGAAAGAAAAAGAGAAAGGAGAGGGAGGGAGGAGAAAGAAGAAAGGGACCTTTTCGATGTTTGTCAGGATCGAATGCGTCTTTCCAAACGTTCCCGAGCTTTTGGCAAAGGCAGTGGGGGACGGGGGAGAAAAAAGGGAAGTAGACGGGAGAAGAGAAGGAAGGAGAACAGTGGGAGGACAGGGCTTACCCCCAGCTCGCCATATTCACCAAACTTCTCCGAGTTGTAAGAAGTAGGGAGTGGGGAGACAGGTTAATGGTTAAAAGCAAAATAATGTGCTAGACATCTAAGGTCATGTTAGCACCATAGGAAGGTACAGTAAAGGGTAGTGAAGGGCAGCTGAGTTAGTAGTTAGTTGCTATGTCAACTATCTAGTTAATATTGAAAAGGTTAAAAATGTGTATAGGAGTTGATTAAGTGAATAGGTTAAGGTAGGGTTAGGTAATAGGGATTAGATCAAGTGAAGGATGTATGCGCCTGAGGAAGGAGAAAGGTTGTCGGAGCAGAAAGTGAGATGCTGTAAGGATGTCTGATAGGTTGGGAGGTCGGTGAAGGGAGGATAGAGGGGGGAGGGGAAGCAGAGGTACATGCTGCATCAAAGCGTGGACAGGACAATAGAATGCGTGGAGCTGCAAGAGGGACATAACACTGGGAACATAGGGAACGGCCAGGAAGAGACAAAATGATAATTGGGGATTAATATAGGATGACGTGTAAGAAAAATCTCTTAGAGGCAGATAATGGATGGTTTTTAAGAAGAAAGGATACGGCGAAGGTCAGGTCTATGAAAACGGAAACCGCAAATATTCCACTTTAGTTGATCTATGAGTGATAACGGTTACAGTGCTTGTTGGAGAATTTGAAGGGGAAGGAGCTAGGGGGTGAGATAAGGAATGAGAGGGGGAGGGTAGTGTTGCATCAAAAGGGGTATCAGGAGGTGGAGGATCTGGGGAAGGGCATAAATGTGGCATAAGGGATTTACGTGTGTATCCAGGAGGGAGTGGAAGGGATAGAGGGGATGGCGGGAAGGTTAATGTAGGTGAAGCTGGGGGAGGGGGGGGGGGTGGACTGTGTTGGGAGGGAGTAGGGGGAATATGAGTAGGAGGAGGATAGATATCGGCAGTCACTTTGAGTGTGGAGGGAGCGGGAGTAAAGAGTAAAGAGAAAAAGCTCGTCGAAGTGCTTCCTGTCTGGCTTCGCGCAGAATGAGACTATTTGGCTAGGCTAAATAGAGTATTTGAGATATTTGTAGAGTTGGGGGTGGTAGAAGGACGGGGACGTGTGGAAGAGTGGGTAGTGTTGAGGGAAGTAATATTACGGAGAGGTGGACAATAAGGCTGTAAAGTAGTAGTAAGGGAGGATGGGGTGATTGATAAAGGTTCTGGGCGTAGAGGTGATGAAGTTGGAATGTCTCCTGCAGCTGGAGTGTTAACTTGGGTGGATAATGTATTAGCGGGCTTTGGGGAGGGGGTATGACAGTAAACGAGAGGAGGGAAAAAAGAGGAGATGAGAATAAATAGAAGATAAACATACGTGGGGAAAAGGAGGGCCAGAATTGGGACTGCCAATCAAATGAGGAAAAACGAGAGCTTTAAAAAGTATATACTCTGAATCGTATGTTCGTATACCTACTCTGAATGCATACTTGATGTAGGAGGTAGGAAGGTAGGAAGAAAGTAAAAATAGAACTGGTCCAAATAAGTTTTTCAAGTGCCGAGAAAAATGTTGGCAATTTCCTTAGACCGAATGACTCCACTTGGATTGATCAGACTGACATTTCTTTCTAGCTGTGTCATCGTACCCCGGGATTTGAAATACTAGAGTCATTTTCATAGGATCCTCTCTAACAGCTTGGTGTTAGTCTTTGAATAGGAAAATAACTTTTCTTTTGGTAGGAATAATAAAAATAACACGGAAAACGTCAGGAATTACTTTTTTTTCTAATTAATGCTTTTCCACGGACAATTGTCGACGGGCCCGCTATGCAAGAAAAAAAAATGGTGTGGCCAAATAGGTTATGCCAAACTTCAAAAAATAAAAAAATTCTGAAGGGCTCTGTTGACCCAATCATTTTACCGAAGCGACCGTAGCTTTTGCGACTGCAGATAAATACAAACATAAGCATATTAACACGCATAAGGATTAAGCATGTCAATACACTAAAATAGGTTTGTCTATCTTTCAGGGTGACGTTCACTACGCTTTCCCTTCGACACTCTTCGGTATCTTGTCCGTCATGGCAGGTCTTCTCACCCTCCTGCTGCCGGAGACCAACAAGAAGCCCCTGCCGGAAACCGTGGACGAAGTCGAAGCCATGGGCAAATAAAATGAGAAAAGGCCGTGGCCACGAAACGAACACAGATAAAACTTTGCTCAAACTTTTCTGTATATATATATTTTTACTAATTATTTTAGGCTAGTGGTGTTTTGTGTAAAAAAATGTAATACTTGTGTGATATGCTAAATAACAGTTAGATAAATTTACGAAGTTTACTGAACCTTCAGGGATATGCAGTAGAATGACATGAAATAATTAATCTGTACGAGTTCTGTCCGAGCGGAAGGGCGTCGAGGACAACAGGAACTTCTAGAATGTTTGTGGAAGAGAGATTTGGCACACTGAAACACTAATAGAATTTTGCGGCGAGATGGACGACTTCTAGCCACACACGTAAACAGGAAATGCAATGTTTGTGGAGAAAATATGAACTAGATTCGCGGGGAGGGAGAGGGAGAGGGAGAGGGAGAGGGTTTATAAAGGTTTGATTTGATTCCATTTGTTACAATGGATATTCTTGGTGTGACATAGTGTGTTTTATTTTGCTTCGAAGTTATCCCGTGTGCAAGGAATGGCCGGAGTTACCATCCACTGGCGGCGAGGGATTTGAATGCAGGTCAGCAAGATTGCTAGACGAGGTCGATACCGCTGCACCGCACAGGGAGAGGGAGAAAGAGAAGGAGAAAGAGAGGGAGAGAGAGAGGGAGAGAGAGAGGGAGAGAGAGAGGGAGAGAGAGAGGGAGAGGGAAGGGGGTAAGAAAGGCGAGGGAGAGTAGACTGAAAATGTCACGTACCTACCTGGCCTAACATGTACTACCGCTTTCTGTGGAATTTTATTAGCTATCATCCAACTTTGCGATTACCTAACGTACAGAGTTTTTCCTTTCTTTTGTGTTAAATTCTTAAATCACGAAAATGATACTTTGGATCAAGAAATGTAATTGTCGTTGCTTCTATTTGAAACGTGAAGGTCGAATAGTTTAATAATGGTTAATGGTTAAAAGATAAATGTGCTAGACATCTAAGGTCATGTAGCACTATAGTACCCCTTTTTAATAACTTCCCAATTCATTCTGAAGAACAGCTTATTTAAGTTCGGTAAAAAATCCCGTGGGTTCCACAGGCTTCGGAATATGTCATCGACCATCATTTGTTTTTTGTAGTACTATTGCCCCTGTAAGCCAACATCTATAGACTAACACGCCATGCCTTCACAGGGTCACTCAAACTAGGCCTGCACAGTCCCAAGTTTCCGCATGCATTTCTAGGGACTGACAAACAACGTTGGCTTCCCACGGGGCTTGTGCAGCTAGACAATAGGTCCCATATAATACACACTGCACTGCGCAAACCAGTTCGTGCTGAAAGCTTGCAATTCAACTGAGCGTGTAGGGGACCCTTTAAGTGACAATGTACATGTTTTGGATGAATATATATTCAACTAATATGAGCATATTCAGGTAGATAAGCAGCAGATCACAATACCCGTAGTCATTACTGAACTAGAGGAAGCAAGTCCACAGGGAAGGAAATTATTATTTTTTTATCATTTATTTATCATTCACACACTACATACCACAAACTGAAATAAAAAGTTGAATAAACCGAGTATAAAATAGACACGCACGCATGTACAACCATTCAAAGTTGACATGATTATTAAAATAAAGGTAGCACTTTAAATGACCAGTGATCGCAACAACAGTCACAGCAGCTATTCAGTATTAACAATCATGAGTCACATGAACCACAATAAAATTAACAATTTATTAATGCCTATGCTTTATAAAAAGAAAAATGCTCCTCTACAAAAGATCAAATTCCTCGCAACCATTAAAAAAATATAATGAAAGAAAATGAAGATTCCAAATTGTGAATGTACTAAGGAACTAATTAAAACTCCTACATTCTTTGGAAATTGTCAATACATTTTTAGAGACTTCCTGTAATGCATACAGCCATGTCAATGTATCTAAAATAATGCTTCCAAAGTTACAAATTCTCCTTTACCAGCTAATTCTCTGACATACAAAATCACATCCCCACACTGAATGCCGCAGACACATTCATCTATGTCTTTCCTACCCTACCCCCTATCCCCTAAGAAAAAAAATTGAGAAAAATAGTTGATTATGTACAATGTGGAAATAAGAATTAAAAAGATCAAAAAAATAATAAGGGTTAATAAAAATGTACATATTTTACGTGATCAATTTTCACCAGAATGTTGAAAAAGAATTAATTAATTGAATCTGGATCTACCTATTCCCAAGCAGTCAAGTAACTGTCAGTCTGTAAACTCCCTTAATTCCCAATCCCCAAACGGAATGGAATATCAACAGTCAATTTCTCTATTTCCGTCTGGTGGGCTCGGATGCAGTGGGCGGGGGTGGGGGGCCGCGTTTCTCCAGCTCCTCCATATAGGCCATAAGGATCTTGGAGCGCTCCTCTGGCTGGCAGTCGAGAACAAGGTAACGTCGATCCTTTCGCAGCACCTCCAGGATGTCACGCTGATGCTGCTCACCCTCACCACACATCTTTAGCGAGCGGTGGGTGATGCACTTTGTCTCCTAGATTCGGGTGGAGAAATCATGTTCATTATTATCATTACTCCATTCTTTTTCTTCTTTTCATATGAAAGTTGTCTACATGCACATACACATACTGATTTTTTACATTATACTACCATAAGAAATATCTAACAGAATGACAAAAGTTACTTCCAAACACAGCAGCTTCTACTCACCTTCAAAAGTTCCCTAAAATCTGCTTTAGCTGCCACCAGCTTGTCCTTGAGGTATTCACGGAACTCTCTCTCGCACTTCTTGTCTGAGGAGGAGAACTTGGTGTAGCGGGGGTCATCCTTGAGTTCCTTCTTCAGGTCCTTCCAGTTGGAGGCCAGGTGCAGATCGGGCAACTCTTCCAGTAGCTCCCTAAAAGATGAGAAAATACTTACACTTTTGCTGTGATACTACAGAATGAAGATTATCTCACAACAGAAATTTAACGGGAAATATCCAAAAATTCATGGCTCACAAAATAAAAATAACTTGCAAATAAAATTTCAAAAAAGGAAAAGAATAAGCTCTGGGTGAAGATATGGACGAAGTGGCTTCTCACCCTTCTCTAAGGTCCAGTTTTCTATAAATTTCTGTCAAGATAATAAAAAAAAAAGGAAAAATAAATCAGGGAAAAGAGCATACCTGAACTTCTCTCTTTTGCGCTTTGTCAGGTTTTCAACATGGTTGTTGAAGAGCTTCTCTTTCTCCTCCCGGTCAAGCGCCCCAGCTGACTCCCAGCGCGAGTCCTTCTTGAGGGACTTCTTAGCCTCCTTCCAGGTGTAGTCTGTACTGCGTACCTGGAACAAGGGAAACTGCAACATTACTTTTTAGAGCCCATCCTTTAGTGGATCAGTCTACATTCCAAAAAATGAAGTGTTTAAGCCCCTAAACCCAACTCATTGTGAAAGAGAGTGATGTGGGGTAAGATGCAGAATTTTTTTCTTTTCTTTTTTTTTTTTTTTTTTTCTTTCTTTTCTTTTCCAATTCCAAGTACATAAAAATTTTCTCTACTACTTTCAATAACTTAAAACATTAAGTGGAATATAAAAGATCAATCATTGTTAGAATATTTCATTCTTTTTAGGAGCTATTATTCCTGATGCTCTATTCTATTCCCTAAGGCTTTCCTAGTTGACTATTATATATCTGCTTATAATCAGACCATGTATCATAGCATTTTTCATAATTTGATTTCTAAACTGATTTTTACAAATGGAGCTATTTTCAAGCTATTTTCCTGAATTTGAACACCTTTCATTTAATCCCAAGCATTACTTGACTAAAGACACTCATTGCTGGTGGATTTATATAAACAAAAACCCCCAAATGCAGGATATTGATTTTCACCGAGCACCCAATGAGTGCCTGCAAGACCATCACAATAAACAGCCTCCAGTCCCGCAGCCACAACCCGTGCTGGGAAGAGCCTTGGATAACCAGACGCGAGTTAACAGCATTACATTGGGGGGTCCTACAATCTCTTGTAATCACTCACACACTATACTTTCCTCAGGTGAAGTTTAATTGCTTTTATCTTTACTTTGCTCTCCCTTATAAAAAGGGAGGAAAAAAAAATAATAATTATAAAGACTGGCCTACAATTCAGTCCCAACTGCAACTCAACCCTTTGAGATCCCAGTATTTGGATATTGCTTATTCTCATTATAATATTATGGGATGTTCATTATTTAAATACGAAATGCTTTACTATAAATTTCTATAAGCATATCTAGCAGTTATTATATATATAATGGCATTATTTTCATGTCTTTAATGCTTTAGTTGAATTCTAAGGTTTACATTTAGGACTGTCTACCCACACTGATTTGAAACTATATCAAACTTTTGAGTCCCCCCTCAAGTACAAAACTTTTTTCAACTTTCATGTACATATTGTCAATCAGTGCTAGTGCCCTTATTTCTTGGAAAACATTTACTGCACATCATATGACATCTTTTCTGCTATGTTAGCACATTTTCGGTTTCCACTTTGTTAGCTTTTACGTTTTCTAAAATATTGATTTTATAATTGATAATGGAGTACCACACACGCTGATTTTATTTTTTATGAGCATAACTAGTGTTGTTTGAAAATGTCAATATTGAGATGGCTTTCTATAACATGATTTTTGAAAGTTTAATTGGAATTGATTATCTTGTATACTAAAAATATGGTATGTCTCCATATATAAGTAACAGTAACATTCTTTATCTTAATTATTAATTAGTTAGGCTAGATGCAAAAATATTAACCCAAAGCCAAAATATATCAACTTCTGATCAAATTTCCCTCACATTCTCTCCTGTCACATGAGTCCCCTACATGAGATGTAAATGAAGAGCACCTAGTGCCTAACACCAAGAGTGCTAGACTCACCAAGTCAGCCAGGAGTGCATTGAAATTGTGCACGGCCTCATCGTGCTTGTGCTGCATGCGTTCCTTGTCGCGATCACGGAGGTGGCCGGCTAGAGCGCGCTGCACCTCCTCCTCCCGCTTTCTGAGCGACTCCTCGATCCTTCTCTGGCGCTCCCGCTCTTCCTCCTCTGCTGCTTCATTGGCCTCTCCATCCTCACACTCCTCCTCAGCTCCATCACTCCCTGTATCTTCACCCTGAAAAGGAGCCATCAAACTATGGACTGTTGTTCCTTGTCTATGGAAGAAACTTCAAAAGCCAAAACCATTCTACCTCTAACACTGATAAAAAGGCAGTATCTGATAGTTCTTAATATAAAAACCAATGGGAAACAAGACCCATAATCATGCATATATAAGAGATTCCCTATGTCTCTTCACTACAACTAATACATTTGCAGACAATGGAAAAAAAATTAAAGTAAGCTCATGCATCCCTTTCTT